TGGCCAGCATGATGGCTGAAAGGGTCTGTGGTTGATCACAAAATGAACATGAGGCACCAGTGCGATACTGTAGGGCTAATAGCATACTGGGATGCATTAGCTGATGTGTTGTGAGCAGGGCTAAGGGAGCGGTACTTCCTCTCTACTTGGCACTGGTGAGACCCCAGCTGAAGTGTTGTGTCTAGTTCTGGGCCCCACACTGAAAAAGATGTGGAGAGTCTTGAAAGGGTCCAGAGAAGGACTACAAGAATGATTAAGGGCTTGGAGGACAAACCTTATGAGGAAAGACTAATGGATCTGGGACTGTTTAGCCTAGGGGAGAGAAGACTGAAAGGGGGGGGAGGGCAGGACTTGGTGGCCATCTATAAATATGTAAGGGGTGAGCACTGGGAGCTGAGAGAGAAACTATTCACTAGGGTGCCCCAGGGGAGGACAAGGAGCAATGGCCATAAACTATTAGAGGATGGTTTCAGGTTGGTTGTAAGGAAGAACTTCTTTATGGTAAGACTGACCAGATTCTGGAATAGATTTCCCAAGGAGGTAGTGCAGTCCCCAACCTTGGAAATCTTCAGGAGGAGACTGGACAGATACTTTGCTGGGATCATTTAATCTCAGCAGTATTCTTGCCCAGAGCAGGGGGCAGGGTTGGACTTGATCCTTTGAGGTCCCTTCCTGCCCTTAATTTCTATGATTCTATGACCTTTACAGTAAGAATGATGAGGGTGATGGTGATGATAATAGCAGTAAGACTAGATCCAGAAATTACTGATCCATGAGACAGTCTGACTTTACTGTCCTTGGATTTGTCCCATAATGTTGTTGATTATGTGGCTGTTTAATCCCCAGGTGAAGAAATTATGTACCTATTCAATTTCTAGGATCCATTTCTTTTTTTCCAGCAATCTGACATAAAACTATTTATTATTATTGTAAAAATCTTAAAACTTGTTTCAAATGTATGTTAAAGTTCTGATCAAGTAAGGGCATTAATATATGCAGAACCTTGGAGCCACACAATGTCTTGTTAATGTTGGTGGTATTTTGAACAGGAAGTCCATTGGAGGATCAAAGTCTAAGATAAAAACTTGTAAGTGATAAAGATATAAGTCTGGAATTTAGAACAAATGCATAAAGGCATAGATTATGGCAACTCACCCAGCAATTAGTGTAGTCATGTACAGAGACCTGGATTAGTGTCTCTCTTGGGGTTGAGACTAACATCAGATTATTTTCTGTTTAATTCCAGCGTATTGATAGATACTGGTTCACATTATGGGGAAATACAGTTAAGACCTCGATTTTGAAAATATTTTGATACTTCTGAGTGATAAGCCCAATGACATGTCTGAAGTGATCCTCCTGTCTCCATACTCCTGTGGCAACTTGATAACAACAGCGTGAAGTTGTTTCAAAAGTAATTTCTTTTATTAAAACAGTTAAGGCTGAGACATTCAGTAGTAGCAAGTCAGAGCTTTGTGTTTTAAATGCTAAGGACCTGGACACACAACACCAGCGCAAGTGTTATAAAAGAGTATCTGCATGATGTATGGACCTTTTGGAATCTGGTGTAGAATAACCCTGGGGAAAAAAATGGGGGTACAAATACTTTGGTATAAAACACACTGGGGCAAGTGTTGTCTGTCCAGGGTAGCCATTTGCTCAGTGCAAACAGGCCATTCTGGTGGACAGAGGAGAAGGGATTAGGGCAAATGTCCTCTGTCCAGTCTGGATCCTAGTGTAATTTACATCTGTTTAGAAACTGATGTACATTTCATTCGTGTTAAAATATTATGTGTCTAGTCTTTATGCCTGTAGAAGTTCTGGCATCATATTTAAAATGGTGTTATATTACAAAATATAATTTTGTCCAAGATATTTTATTTTAAAAGAGAAATGAGAAAAGATTATCAAAGGACTTCTAACTTGCAGCTACAGCAGCTGTTTCTGGGTGCCAGGTTTCTGTTGTACACTTTGTAGCATTGGGTCCATCACAAAAAAATGTTCATACCCAATGAAGTGTTTGGAAGGAAAAACATCTAAAATTAAGTGTTTGCATTTTACAAAAATATTGCTACAGTCTTTCTTCTTAGAAACACGTTATTATGTCTGTGTAAGAAAGTTGATGGTGTTGGATTTGGTAACAATAAACAACTATTTTGCTGAAATTAAGTCCTTTTTCCTCCCCTTTGACCCTCTATATTTTCAGAAGTACAGTCTAAATCCTTCAGTTCAAAAAAGATGACACAATTCTTTAATGTTTGCATGGAATGGTGGTGATACGTCCATGTTTTTGTTTCTTCTTGTTATTGCATTACAGGTGTAAAGAAGCCTAAATATAGGTATTTATATGTGGTTAATAAAGACTTCCCAAGATAAACTGGTAAATATATCCTTAATACTCAAGTGAAAACTGAAGTGCAAGGTTAAACTTATAAGAACCATGTCATCCATCAGTGGTTGCAAGTAATTGCTCTTCTCAGTTAAGAGTTATGTTCTGGCATCCGCGAAAGAATAAACATTAAGTGTTGACTTTCTAGGGAATGTATCTAGTAGTTAAGCAGATCACCTGAAAATCTGGATTATACTCCTGGTTCTACATCTATTTCTCTGTACTCTTTGCTACTCAAAAGGATATTGTGCCTCTGAATTTTTACATGTGTGCTGGTTTAGAAACGCTTTCTGTTAATAAATCTACATATTTTATTGAGAGAGAAATATCACGTCAGTAGGCTTTACACACTAGCTTCTATTCTTCTTTGTTATGCCTGTGGCCTCTGGTGACATAACTGATGATTATGTGCCCTTTGCTTACACCTTTGATTTTTTGCATGGGAAGTCTGACAGCAAATTAAATCATCTCTTGCAAGTTAAGGAGGTTTTCACATTTGCAACATGGAAATGAGTATTGTTGTTCATTTGGTTGGGGTAACTGTTTTCAAACAAAATACTTTTGTCAGAGAGCTAATTTATCTAGTAGGAAAGATTAAACTACTTTATTGTGCTACTGCATCCTTTATTTTAAATGTCAGTATACAAGCTGCGGGGTGGCCAAGGTGAAACAAGATGGTTTCAGCCCAACTCTTAGCAGGCATGTTTATATGAATCATGTTACTAAAAGTCACGTGTTCTGACAGGGAGGCTTAGGACTAAATGGCCATGGAGGTAACGCGTTACAGAGTAGGAACATTGTGATGCAGGCAGGGCATGGTACTGTCATAGCCTGCTGTTTTTGGGAAACCTCAGACACAAACTGATTTTAAAAATGAGAAATATTGAAGTATTAAATACTAGAGTCAGAAAAATTCCTTTGTTTACAGATGTAGTTCCCACTAATAGAACTGTGATGAATATATCTACTTAGGGCTATGATTATTCTTCTGGGGTGTATAATTGCATATTAAACCATCGCATGTAAGCAGGGAGATTCTTATATTTGCATAATCTTGCATTTCCCAACTTTTTGGAAGAGAAGGATTGAGTAATTATATTAAATTCTTAGATATTATGTCATGGGCTTTCGGGAGTTTGGAAAACTACAATAGACACTCTGTCCCTGGGCTGTTGGATTTCTGTAAAGTTAGGAAGGTGAGCACATGACATGCTCCTTCCTATTAGGTTTCTTGCCAGCATGGAAAGAGCAGCAGTTTCATTCTCCATGTCTTACTCTACTGTAAAAGCAAACCAGAGATTCCGTAGCCCTTCCATGTATATAAATAACAGTTAATAATCATCACAAATGGGAGCAGGATTTAGCCAAAAGGCAATAAGAAACTTTCCTTTTGACTTGAATGGGCACAGTGTATAATATAATATAATATTTCATAACTGATTGCTCTACATCTAATATATATCTGTGCTTTAGGAGACATCTTAATTTAATACAATTTAAGGAAGTATACAGAAAACATTAAAATATGTGTGTCTAAATCTAGCATCTTAAATCTGTAGGTTAGCACCTAAATATGGATGTTAGGTCCTAACTTTAGGTTTCTTTTTTTGAAAATGTTCCCCCATATTGTAATGTTATCCCTTTTGAATACATTTCTCAGCTCTTTCTAATCAGTGTGCTGAATGAGTCACATAATTGCAAAAAGTGAGTCATGTTTTTAGATTGTGAAGAAAATGTATTATAGCTTATCACTGCCGGATCCATTTTAGCCATGTCTACCTATTATTATTGCTGGATCCCCTAGAAATTAGGGAGATAGAAGCACATACCCTTCAGAGAAGCTGTTTACATTCCTCAGTTGCATTTCTCTCTCTCTCTCTTTTTTCTATTGTACCGAGCAGTTCTTTGCATGTTCTAATTTGCCATGACGTGGTCACTGCTGTTTCCTTCCTGCTGCTTACAAGCCTGTGCTAGAGATAAGGATAAGTTTACAGTGCATTTTGAGAAAAGAAGCTGAAGATCAACTTAGTGTAAGAACTAAAGGCTTTCTGATTTTAGATGGTTTTTAAATGCACTTTACTTTTAAAAACTCTGAATTTGCTTTATCTATTCCACTATGATGAGTTATTCAAGATAAAGTGGCATTTAACTGGCAAAATAACAACTTGTCAAATTGGATCTGCAAATGAGGAGGAGGAGAGGTGATAGTACTTTGTGTATCCAGTAGCTGATTAGGTTATTCTGGGTTTTTATGTTTTGCTATGAATTTTCTCTTTGATGTGTCAACTAAAAAATACACCTTAAATAATTAGGATAGCTCTTTGGGTTAGTTAGAAGTTACTAAAATATGCTACCTTATTTTTATTTTAATTTGGAACATTTTGAAATTAGTGTTCAGGTTCCTGAAGCAAACCAAACAGTCTTCTGTGCCGGTGAAACAGTTTGGTTTTTTGTTTGCAGAAATGAGATCAGTAAAGGCACAGGAGTAGCTAGCTTTATGAGATCAAGAGGTGTCTCATGTATGAGACTGAACAAACTCTTTTATAGCCAGTACTGTTATTTATAGTTAAGACAATTGCTTATTAATTGTAATTTTGTTGTTGTTTTTCAGTGGTGAAAGGTTATCCAAGTGAAAAGAACAATTCAGGAAAGGATTTCCCTGGTATGTTTATCTTTGAGAAGAGAAGAGCTCAAGAAGATTGACTGTCCAAGAATTATTAGCCCAGACACCTGATTTATTTCATGACCTTGTTTTTCTGCCCGACTGGGTTTTGGTGATAGTTTCCATCCTGCTACATTTAAGAGGATTTTTTTATGTGGAACTGAGACCTGGGAATGCTTTATTATGGCAGCAATTGTGCAACAGAATGAGCTTGTGTTTGAATTTGCCAGCAACGTCATGGAGGATGAACAACAGGTATGGTACAATAAAAGAGGCCATATTGGTATAACTTAATGTATATTCTGTAGAGTTTATTTTTAAAAAATGATTTGGTTATTGCTGTAGCTGACCTTTTCAGTGTTTCGAAAGCTTACTGTGGCTTCCTGAAATGTGGGTGAGCAAAACAGAAATTAGTTCAAGCAGTTATGATTTCTGTGGTATTGCAGAAACAAAATATTTAGGACAAGAGCATCCTTTGTTAGTGGTTATTAAATGCGTACAGATCTGTTTCAATAGAACCCACTACTTGATACAGAACTTTGGTGAGGACCTTAGTGTTTTGGTCTGTTTAGAGAAAGGTAGTTTAATCTATCTAATGTGCTTAAATGAGATTATAAATATAGATAGCTTCAACTCCACAAATGGCCTGAAACACTGATAGAATGTTATATTGGACTCTGAGAGCTTTACAGGTCATTTTCTGAACTGTATTACCAAAGAGGTTGTTAGCTACTCAAATGCATTTGGGAATTTAAGCTCTAATAATTATTAAGGTCAATACGTGAAACATAAGGAACCACACATGTTTCCTTCATTACATGCTTCTCTAGTAGATCTATTCTAAAGCGTGTCCTATGCCTTAATGTACCCGAGAGTACAGTGAAGTAAGTAGTCCTTAAATACACATTGTACCTAGTAGCCTATGTTAGGGAGTGGCAAGAGTAATTTCTCTTAAGATTTCAAACCCTTTTAAAGGTAGGCTTTGTTATTTCATAATAAAACATTTTGGTAACATAGAATCGGAAAGGCAGTTTTCAAAGAGTTACTAAATACTGTTGAGCTTACTGATCATATTTTTGAGTTTTCTAATAATATTTTTATAGTTTCTGAAAAGCACCTTTTTCCTGTCCTTCTAAAATAATATTTGTTTTGTAATCTTGGTTCTGACTTTTTTTTTTACATGACCTGCCATTTGGCTGTGATTGGCTAGTGCTTATTAACAATGTCACATGTTAGTTTCAATGAACTGAGTGCCCTCTATTTAAACTGTTAACTTAATTTTGGGTAGAGCTGTCAATGCAACTTCCTTTCCTGTATTTTCACACAGCTCATGGTAGCCTAGGGGATCAGATATAGTAAACAGCAAACCCTATTTATTACATCTGTTTATTGGGTTTTTTTCTGTTCTTCCTTACCCAGGCAATAGGAGAGAGGTGGAATGCTGAGGAGGGGAGAGAAGTTTCATTCTAGTTTCATAGAAACAAGAAATGAGTCTGACATGTATTCATTCTGTTTAGGTCCCTGGCACACATTCATTTAAAGGTGCCATAGGATCTGATACCCAGTCCCAGTAGCTGCATCTTCTGCCATGCCACATGTGCATGTGATTTTGGGATCAGATCCCAGTCTTACTCTTTCCACTTGTTGGTGCAGGAGAAGCCCAGGATCATAATCCTGATTCCCTCCCACAGCAGCTGGCTGAAAACTGGGTGCCTGTAGCCTGGCGTGACTCAGGCTGTCTGGGGGCAGGGGCTGAAAGTCAGCTGACTGTCAGCAGCTGCACTGGGGCAGCCATAGATATCCCAGACATTCAGTTTAAGGTGCCATCTGAGCCAGCCTTAAAAATTATATGTGGAACATTGTTATGGCTGGTTTGCCATTTTATGGTGCCTTAAATTGGGTTTATGTATGGCATCTTTGGCATTTATGCTGAGATTAACTTGTTAATTGTGGCATAAATATAACAAGTATTGGCACCTTTACAGATGCATTGTGCTTATCTCCATTTCTGTAGATACCCACATAAAGTTCTTTAAAAAATAATCAAGTTGCAGATATTTCTGGAGGAAATTTAAGACCTCTTTTAAAAAATGTCCAACTCCTGAAGAAATTTTGTTTAGGCATTAATCTTGTAACTCCAGTAATTTGGGGTTACAAGATGGAGAAACATGGTAATGATTCTGCTGTAATGATAACCAAATGAAAGTTGTGGCTGAAAAAGTGAATTCCTAAGGGACCATTCTGCTGCAAGCTTCTTCCAGTTGAGCATGCTAAATAGTATTGGTGGGAGAAAGGAGGATAAATGTAAGGATGGTCATTGTGAGGAGGGCAAGTCTTATGCATAGAAGTATAAAAAAGGGGAGTTTTGTTCTATAGTAAAAGATTGAGATGGTTATGGTAGGCTTTAAAAGAGCAGGGACATGTAATACTATATTGCTGCAAAAAGACAAGAGATGTATCAGGATGTATTTATACCAGAGAGACTGCTATACGTCCATAGACCTGATGTATTGGAGACAACATTGCTAAGTTTTGAGATTTGAGATAAGTGATGAGGATAAAAATTGGTATTTTTGCTTATAATACAGGACAGGTGCTTAAAAAATTTCAGCTCTGAAAGGGCTTTTCATTGGTCCAAAAAACTTTTTTCTAGTCTGGACGGGTTATGAAATGTTGGTGTCAGTTAATATTTTAAATTATTTTTGCTGTGTTGTTGAAAGCTAGAATTTCAGAATTGAAGCAGTGTATGTAAGTTATTTATTTATTTATTTATTTATTTTAAAAGCTGTGTGGTCCTACTGTAGTGTCTCATCCTGCCAGGAATTTTGGAAAAGTCTTAAGGGTCTACATTCTAGTTGCATTCATGCTTATTATTTATTTTGCTAATGTCTAACTTAGTCTAAATCTACTTGTTATGAATCATTTACTAGTGAACATAATCCAGGAAGCATGAACTCAGACAGTGACATATAGTGCTGGGGGTTGGATTTGTAAATGTGTTCACTTAAACAGGAAATATATTTCAGGCATTACTGTGTTTGTCCACTTCTACTTAGGGAATACTGATCATAGAATCATAGAAGTAGGGTTGGAAGGGACTTTGTAGATCTTCAAGTCCGACCCCCTGCCTGGGCAGGAGAAAAACTGGACTCAAATGAGTCCAGCCAGGTAGGCATCAAGCCTCT